TCGTGAACCTTCCCACTCACAGAAGAGTTCACTGAGGCACAGGGTGGTCCTGGCCTCGTCAGGAAGAACCTTCGGGGTGTGGGGTGCTTCCTCTCGGCCACGGCCACAGCCAGCCCGACTCCCTCCCGGTGCCCGCGGCCCCACACAGGGCCTGCCTGGAGCGTCCTAGCTGACCGGCCTCCGCCTTTATGGTCAAAGCCCCAGGGAGGGGGTGACTCGCCCACTGTGTCTCAGGCCCCCCGGCCCCTTGTGTCGAACCATCCCCAGAACCACAACCAGGGGCCCCCGAAACCGAGAGCCCGGCGCCTCGGAGCTGCTCAGACGGCGAACAGATGCCCGCTATTTTAAACCCACTGTTAACTCATTAAGACAGCTGTTTCCCATCCCCAAAGTCGGCGGAATTAGAATTAAACTCATTCCAGAATTAAACACACACATACACACGCGCTCCGCCACCATTCGGAGGCAAAACTTGTTAGCATTTAAGCAAGCTGTGTCTCAGAGCCTGGGGCCGGCGGAGCTTCCGCCCCACGAGTTACATCACGGCCAGCTGCTGCCAGCCGCTGCCAGCCGGGCATGTGGCCTCGGGCCCAGGCCCTGCCCAGACCACCCCCGTGACAGTCCAGCTGGCAGCCGGGCGACCCCCGGGTCTCTCTCTGACCCTCAGCCCCAGCAGGCCCGGCAGAAGCGCAGGAAATGTAATTCGGGCATGGCGTCGGGCTGGTCCCACGGCAGGGCCACCAGGTGCCGCGTGTGGGGAGCTGGATCCCACGTGGTGGACAGCGGTTCGAATCCCTGTCCCAGCGGCCTGCAAAACACACATGTGTGTGCTCAAATCCGGGCAGGATGGCGGAAAGGAGGAGACGGGTGACGGGCTCCCACCCCACGCAGGGGTGCCTTCTCCCTCCTGCACTCCCTCCTCCCCTCCCTCTGGCTGGCGCACAAACCCTCTGGCCGTAAGAACAGAACCAAACACCTGTTATGGTGTCAGGAGGAGCGCTTTGGAGGGAGGTCAGGGTGCGGGCTGCAGGTATGGGTTTGGAAGGAGAGGATCCTGCATGCCCAGCCACAGAGACCTCTGCCCTCACGTCCCAATGATACCTGGCATGGTCTCCAGGGCCCACCATCAGGAAAACCCACCCAGGCCAGCAGGTAGCACGGAGGTTAAGGCACCGGAGCCCACGTGGCTGGCTGCAGGGTTCGAGTCCCCGACCCGGCAGCTCGAAAATCACCCCAGGAGCAGTTTGCAGGAATGTACGTGCCCAAAATCCCAAGAGAAGAATGGAAGAGAAGGGACTGTGGCATGGCCATTCCCCCTGGGGGTGACTTCTCTTTCTCTTTCTCTGTTTCCCTCTGGCAAGTGCACACGCACTATAGCAAAACTCCCAAGAAAAAAAGAAAGAAAGAAAGAAAGAAAGAAAAAAGCACCTCCCTGCGTGTGGCCCCGGACCCAGGGCCCCCCAGCCGTGGGGCGATAAACCCCTCTCTCCATAACCACCAGGCTCAGGCGTCCTGCAGCGGCACGGACGAGGACACTTTCCGGCTCCGTGTACACCCCTACCTCACGCTCGGAGAGGGCACCCCTGCCCCCCGCTACCACAGCTCCTGCCTCCTTCTCAGGCTTTCTTTGGTGCCTTACGCTTTCTGGTTTTTCAAAGATGTCTTATTTGGAAGTAATTTTAGACTCAGAGCGCGGCAGAGATAGCTGTGGTCCCTGCAGACCCTTCTCGCAGCTTCCTCTGAAGTCAGTTCTTCCGTAACCACGGCACGATGACCAGAACCAAGACCTTCACACGGCTACGAAATGACTAAGGAATCCACGGTGGTTAAGCGGGGGTGGGTCCCACACGGCCAACGGTGCGGTTCAAATCCCAGGCCCGGCAGCGGGAGAAATGCAGCAGGCGCGTGCCCAAATCCCGAGAGGAGGAGGGAGGAGAAGGGATGGCATGGCCGACCTCCCTGCCCAGCGGGGTGATTCCATAGTCTCTGTCTCTCTCTGGCCAGCACGCATGCCCTATAGCAAATTTAAAAAAAAAAAAAATGGCAGAATTATCAAGGAATCTACTCCACAATTACTATGGTTTGGACGTGCACCCCCACGCTTGAGCCATCTTGATGGTATTAAGAGAGCAGAGACAGGACCAGCAAGTGGCGTAATGGTTACGGGGATGGACTGGAATACGGTCGACCACAGTTCGAGTCCCGGACCCGGCGGCTTGAAACTCATGCCAGGCGCGTGTGCGTGCGTGCCCAAAATCCCAAAAGGAGAATGGAGGAGAAGGGATGGCGGCGTGGCCATCCCCCCTGGGGGGGATTTTCCGCTTTCTCTCTGTCTCTCTGTCTCTCTGGCGAGCGCACACGCCTATAGCAAAAATCTCTGAAAAATAATAAATTAAAAGGGGATTCTGTGTCGTGTCTCGAACACTGAGCAAGGAGCCCGGCATACCGTAGGTGCCCTGGCTCGCTGGCCCATGGCCTAAACAGCAGCCACTTCAGTCGCTGACACACGCTGGGGTTTGTCTTGGTCTTGGGCTGGTCCCTGTCTCTCTGGTCTGTATCTCTCCACGGCCCACAAGGAGGTGGAACGCAAGGGTGTCGACCAGCAGGTTGGGGTCACTCGTGGGTGGGGGCTCTCTCCTCCTCTGACCCCTGGTCCCCTGCAAGCCCTGGGCGGACACAGGCTTCTGGACGAGGCGGTGAAAGCCCAGGACGCCTGGGTGTAGACAGATCCTTTCTCCCAGCAGAGTTTTCTGTCTCCACGAGTTTAATCACCCTGGCACGGAACCCGAGACCTTGGAGCAGGACAGGAGGGAGGACAAAAGCAGCAGTCTGACCTCGGACGGCAGAGCTGTTTCATTCGCAGCCAGGCCCCCGGGCCGAAGCCAGAGGGGCAGGAGGTGTGGGAGCCGGGTGCAGGGGAGGGGACACGGGGGCCTGCTTCAGCGTCTGCTCGGCTGTGGCGTTCCGCATGCCAGCTCCCCCCAGGGAGGACAGGGAAAACGCAGACCCACGCTCCCAGGGTGGTGGGAGGGTCCGTGGGCGGAGACACCGTAGGGTCTACGTGGAGTGTTCTCACGATCCTGATGCTGAGAGAGGAGCGGCTCCCCCACCCGGAGCGACTGATGGGAGGAAGCCTGGATGGCTGCTGGAACTCTGTCCCCGGGTGTGTCCGGGAGAGTGTCCTCAGGAAGAATGGGCGTGCGAGTTAGTGGGCCGGGAGGGGAAGACCCGCTTTCCCTGTGGGCAGACCACCCGGTCAGCGAGAAGTGTGGGAAGGATAGACAGGGAGTGGGCTTCTATTCCCACCTTCCCTCTCTCTCTCCCTCTCTCTCTTTAAGAGAAACTTTTGCTAGAGGATGCATGAGCTCCCTGGAGAGACAGAGAGACAGAAATGGAGAAATCACCCCCAGAGGGGATGGTCACGTCGCAATCCCTTCTCCTCCATTCTCCTCTGGGGATCTTGGGCACGCACGCACACGCGCCCGGTGTGAGTTCTAAGTTGCCAAGTCTGGGACTTGAACTGCATTCGACTGCGTGGAAGTCCAGCGATGTAATCGTTACGCCGTCTGGTCCCTCTTCTTCTTTTTCTAATTCCCGGAAGGTGCATGCTCACGAGAGAGAGAGAGGTGAGGCCCCGGCATGAGGCCCTGGCATGGCTGCACCTCAGTTCCTCCTCCACCTCTCCTTTTGGGGTGTCGGGCACGCACACACTCCTGGAGTGATTCTCAGGCCATCAGGCTAGGATTCAAACTGCCGGGTCGGCCCCCTGTCGTCCGGTCGCCCTCCCCTCCAGGTCCCCGGCTGGCACGTAAATCCCTTGTTCTACATGCGTGTGGGCGTGTGTTTACCCTGATGCGCCCGTCTCTCTGGAGGATGCTGAGAGATACGCCCGGCCAGTGAGGGCCGAGGCTGGGCTGGAAGCCAGCTCTCCCCCTTCACTGCTTCGTGCTCCTCTGGGTGCGAGAAGACACATCTTCAATCTCCAACCTGCCCAATTCCACCGCGGGTCGCAGCGGGCCAGGTGACGGCACTGGGCCGGGAGGGAGAGACCGAGGTGACAGAGACAAACAGACCTGAGACCCGGACACAGACACCCAGACAGAGCGCAATGAGCAGTCAGCCCACGGTCAGCGGGGAAGGCGGCTGGATCCCACGTGACCGACCGTGGTTCCAGCCCTGGACCTGGCAGCTTGAAAAACACACTGGGGGTGGGACCGGCAGGTGGCGAGGTGGCTAAGGTGCTGGACTCCCACAAGGCGGACCGCGGTTCAAATCCTGGACCTGGTGACTTGTTTTCTCACTTTCCCTCTGTCTGTCTCTGACCAAACTGGGAAATAATAATAATTAATAAAGTTAAATAAAATAATTCTTTAAAAAAAGAGAGAAAGAAGAAAAAAGAAAAACACACTGGGGGAACCAGCAGACGGCATAGCACTTCCATTACTGGATTCCCAGTCAAACACAGTTCGAGTCCCGAATCTGGCGGCTTAACCCTCACGACAGCGGGTGTGCGTGCGTGCCCAAGATCCCGAGAGGAGAGTGGAGGAGAAGAGACTGCAGCGTGGGCATTGTCCCTGGGGGGTGCTTGCTCACTTTCTTTCTCTCTCTGTCTGTCAGGGAGTGCACACGCCCTATAGCAAAAATCTCTCCAAAATAATAATTATTAATGAAACGAAATAATCCTATAGGAAAAGCCCTGGTGTGGGAAGAGCTATGAGCCTCTCCGGGCCCCGCTGGGGGGTGACCTGGCCCTTTGCGGGTGGAGGCGTGAGCCCTGATCCCTGCCCGGGGCTGCCAGCCTGCCCCTGGGCTCCGGGAGCTGAGGGCACTCTGAAATCGGTCCCGAGGCTGCTCGGCCCTTGAGGCCAGGGACCCAGGAGGGTCCTATGGGCCACAGGCCCGGACAACCAGGGACCCTGGGGGAAGGGGGGGGTGTCACAGGATGTGATGTCACAGAGGCCAGGAGCATTTAGAACCCTGAGGGCTCCTGGCCTCAGTATCATCTGCCAGAGAGGCCGTGGGGCCCGCAGTTCCTGAGACCGTCTGGGGACACGATGCACACGGCACTGCCCAGAGCAGCCCGTGCCTGACGCCCCATCCGCAGCTCCCGTTCCCCGCCATGCCGGCCGCGGGCCCCCTGGGAGGCCCTGGAGATGCCCGACGGCCTCCCGTCTAAGGCCCCAGCGGAGGAGGCGGTGGCCATGGGGCGGCTGCGGCCAGCCCTGGCCCTGGCGGCGCTCGGGGCCTGGCTGATGCTCTCGTGGCTGGCGGTGCCCTCCCAGGCGGTGGTGAGGGCCGTGCTGGACGGCAACTCAAGCACCGTGGACTTCGTGGACTTGCCGGCCCTGTTCGGCGCGCCCCTGGCCCCCGAGGGCGTGCGGGGCTACCTGATGGAGGCCAAGCCGGCCAACGCGTGCCAGCCCATTGAGGGCCCGCAGCCCGGCAACGGCTCGCTGGGCGCCGTGGTCCTGATCCGGCGCTACGACTGCACCTTCGACCTGAAGGTGCTGCACGCGCAGCGGGCCGGCTTCGAGGCCGCCATTGTGCACAACGTGCACTCGGACGACCTGGTGCGCATGGCGCACGTGTACGAGGACCTGCGGCGCCAGATCGCCATCCCCGCCGTGTTCGTGGGCGAGGCGGCCTCGCAGGACCTGCGGGTCATCCTGCGCTGCGACAAGTCCGCCCACGTCCTCCTCCTGCCCGACTACCCGCCCTGCCCCGACCTGGACTGCCACCCTGTGCTGGCGCTCTCCTGGGTGCTGGGCCGCACCCTGGCCCTCGCCATGTCCGCCCTCTTCGTCCTACGCTGCCTGTGGCTCTGGGCCCGGCCCTGGTGGACCCCGGAGGCGGCCGCCAAGACGCAGAGCCAGAAGGCCCAGGTGCGGACCTTCACGCGGCGCAGCGACCTCTGCGCCATCTGCCTGGACGAGTACCAGGAGGGCGACCGGCTCAAGATCCTGCCCTGCTCCCACACCTACCACTGCAAGTGCATCGACCCCTGGCTCGCCCAGGCCGCCCCGCGCTCCTGCCCCGTGTGCAAGCAGTCTGTGGCCAGCACTGAGGACGGCTCCGACTCCACCGTCGACAGCTTGGGCGACGAGGACCTCTCCCTGCCCGGACACCAGCCCCCGATCTGGGCCGTCCAGGCCCGACTGCGCTCCCGGCTGGAGCTGCTGGCCCGGGCTACCCCGCCCCGCCTCTGCAGTGCCACGTCCATGGGGGCGGCCGAGGCCAGTGCGCCCTCTGACAGGTCCCCCAGGCCCTCCTGAGGCCCGCGGCCCCTGGCTGCGGAGATCCGGCAGGGAGGTGGCGGTGAGGAGTGTTTGCAGAGAATAAAGTGGGTTTGAAAGTGGATTCTCGCCCCAGCTGCCGTGGGGCCGCCCGGCCTGTGCCCAGCTGCCCTCGGGCCGCGGTGCCCGCCATGACCGGGGCGGCCCACGACCCGGTCTCGAAGCCGCTCGGTTCCAGGCGCGTGGGCGGCTCACCCGTGTGCTCCCTCGTGATCCGTTTACACTTTTCCTTTCAAAATAAACGGTTTCTTTTGGAGTCGTTTTAGATCTCCGGAGAAGTTGCCGAGGTACCCCGAAGTCCCTGCCCTGGTGGGGTTGCTACTCCACCGGGAGTGGTGATCACAGAGCCCGCCGGGAAACCGGAGGAGGAGGGTTTCAGCAGGGGACGTCCACGCAGTGCGTGAAACTCGGCGGAGGGCGGCTAACTGGTGGTGGTGTGGTTACGTGGCTGGACTCCCACACGGTCGACCACGGTTTGAGTCCCAGACCCGGTGGCTTGAAACTCATGCCAGGCGTGTGTGTGTGCGTGGCCAAAGTCCCAAGAGAAGAATGGAGAAGGGATTGTGGCGTGGCTATCCCCCGGGGGGTGATTTCTCGCTGTCTCTCTGTCTGTCTCTGTCTCTCTGGAGAGTGCATGCACCCTATAGCAAAAACCTCTAAAAAAAAAAAAAAAGAATTAGGGGACCAGCAGTTGGCATAATGGCTATGTCGCTGGACTCCCACATAGTCGGCTATGGTTTGAGTCCCAGACCCGGTGGCTTAAACTCACGCCGGGCGCGTGTGCGTGCGTGCCCAAGATTCCGAGAGGAGAATGGAGGAGAAGGGATTGCGGCGTGACCGTCCCCCCTGGGGGGTGATTTGTCACTTCCTGTTCTCCTCTTGAGTGAGTGCGCATGCCTTACAGCAAAAAAAAAAAAAAAAAAAAAGGAGTTGAGACTTTGGGGGCGAGGGTCGGATCCCAGTGGCCTTGCCCCCATGACAACTCCAGGTTCAGAGAGACAGAGAGACAAAGTGAGAAATCCCCCCCACCGAAAGAATGGCCACACCGCAGTTCCTTCTCTGTTCTCCTCTCGGATATCTGTCCGGCATGAACTTTAAGCTGCTGGGTTGAGGACTCGAACCACAACCGGCCACCTGGGCGTCCAGTGACATAACCACCACGCCATCTGCTGGTCCCCAGGCCCCTAGGTTCTAGCTTCAGGGGGATGGGGCAAGAACCAAGACAGTTACAAAGGAAAGGGGTGGGCTGGCTCTGAGCCAGTGCTAGCCATCGGAGGCACCTGACCCAGCCTGGTGAATCTGGAAGACTTCCTGGAGGTGGGGGCCGTGCTTCTAGAGCAAAGTCAGAATGAGCAGTGATCAGCATGACTAAAAGGAAAAGCGGTGGGGGGGGGGCAGCTCTGTGAGGCTGACACGCAGTGGGAAGCCTCCAAGTTCACATCCCGGGAACTCCCTATTACCAGGCCTGGTGTGCCCATGACCTGGGGCTGGCTGAGGCCGGGGGAGAAGCATGATTTCGAGGCCCTGTTGAGGGCGCCGTCGTCCCTACCTCTCATTCATGGAAGAAATAAACCTAAAAAAAAAAAAGAGAGAGGGATTTTAAAAAAAGGGGAAGTGAGCAGGCAGCTGGGACGGGCCAGGTCTGGCATCCGGAAGGTGCCGAGTCAGTGCAGAGCTCCCCCACCCGGGGCTCAGCGCCATCCCAGACGCCTCGCAGACAGCCAGGCCCAGACGCCTCTCCAGCCGCCTCCGGGGAAGCCGGGCGACCGAGGACAGGGCCGTCAGCCTAGCCAGGCCCGCCTGTGCCAGCCCGCGGGCCCCCGCTTTGGCTGCGGCCCCACGGGCTCCGGCAGAGGCCCCCTCCTGCCCACCCAGGCAGAGCCCCATCTGTGTCTGTGGAAGGAGTGTGGCCAGAAGTGGAGACCGAGCCTCAAAGGGGGGGACTGGCCCCGATGATGCTCATGGACCCAGAATGGCAGCGGCCACCGGCGTCCCCAGCGTCCCCATGGAGGACACACGGCCGCGGGGCCCTGGGCACTCACATCCCAGCCACCTTCTGGAGGGGAAACTGGGTCTGTGAGCGGCGACGTGGCTCGGCCAGGACTGCAAAGCCGGGCGGTGGTGAGGCCAGACAGAGATGCAGAGTGAAAGGAGACACTGCCGTCGCCCAGGGGTTAAGGGAGTTGGCGCACACGGGACTGATTGTGGTTTGAGTCCTGGCCTCGGCAGCTTGAAAAACATGCCGGGCACGTGTGTATCTGGCCCGAGAGAAGCAGGAGGATGGGAAGGCGCCGTCCCGGCTGCAGGGGACATGCCCCTGCAGAGGCCGGAGGTGCCCGCATCTGGGCCCCGTGGAGGCCAGCCCAAGTGAGCCCTCAGGCTGAAGCAGGGAAGGGAGGCCGGATGTGGTAGGCGTAGCCTAGACCGTAGCCCGTGCCCAGCTCTGGCTGTGTGTCCACACACTCACTCCCCCCGGGCACATTCCTGGTGCCCTGAGACCAGGCGCTGAGCTGGGCCGGGGCAGGATCTGGGGGCATCTGCAGAAATGATAAAGGATCTATGTGTTTCTGGTTGGGGTTTGGCGTGCGTATTCGAGGTCTCCAGGGGCAGGCCCCGCTCTGCTCCTGCAGCTCCCCACACCCGAGAGTGTGTATCCCCGCTTCTGGACGAAGAAGAGAGAGCTTGGACAATTCACCTGAGGCCACACAGCATGCCAAGGCCCAAGCCGAGACTCGAACCCTGGACCTCAGAACCCCATGTGTTTTAATCCTCCACTTAACTGCCTCTTGATCCCCTCCTGATTTTATAAAGAACTACTTTTATTTAATTATATTTATCGCTATTGTTCTTTTTTCCCTTTGCTTCAGGACACATGCGCTCACCAGAAAGAGAGTGGGAGAGCAAGCCGGCAGGTCTGGGACCGAACCCCAGTCGGCCATGTGGGAGTCAGTGCCTCAACCGCCACGCCACCTGCCGGCCCCTCTGCGTCCTGTTTCAGTGAGCACCTACTGTGTGCTGTGAGCACAAGAGCCCCCCACTCCGAGGGAGGTTTGCACCTAGTCACTCCTGTGGTTAAGACGCAATGGGGGCCGGCAGGTGGCGTGGTGGTTACAGCACTGGACACTCCCACCTGGCTGACTGCGGTTCAAGTCCTGGACGTGGTGGCTTGCTTTCTCACTTTCCCTCTCTCTCTCTCTGTCTGATCAAACTGGAAAATAATAATAATAAAGTTAATAAAATAAATATATTTTTGATGGTGTATATATATATCATATTATATTTAAAAATGCAATGGGAAGTGGGAAAATTAATTAAGATTACAAAGGGCCCCTCTAGGGAGGCGATTTGCAGACAGAGGCTGGAAGAATGGGGAAGATTCTGCCACAGGAAGATGCAGGAAAAGCATTTCAGCACAGGGAGAGGAGGATGCCCAAGTCCCGAGGCAGGAAGCACCCAGCAGGGCTTGGGGCGGGAGAGAGCCAGCGGGGCAGGGAGGGAAGGAGAGGGGCCGAGGGGCCGGGGTGGAGAGTACCACAGAGTCTGCTCCTGAGACAGTGGGGGCCGTGGGCAGTTGTTCAGGCAGCCGAGAACTCGTGGGTTTTGTTCTCTTTTACTGAACAGCATGGGGCTCAGGGGACAGAGAGCTGGTTCTTGCTAAGTTTACGTACCTGTTTCTTCCATGAGACAGAGACGCGCACGAGACAGACAGAAGAGAGAGACGCACACAGAGGGAGACCGACAATGCCTAGTGGGACCTTCGTGCCATGTTCCACCCCCACCCCCAGCCTCGGCCGGCTCCAGACCACGGGCACGCACACGCCTGGCAGCCTCAGGGAGGTCTCGGGACGTGAACCAGGAGCCTCCTCATGGGGGAGCGGCTTGCCGAGCACTGCTGTGGGCTGCGTCGCCATCTGGCCCTGTTTACATGAAGGGAGGAGGCTGCACCCCCAGGCGGCTGTGTGGCAGCGGCAGCAGAGGGGGGCCGTCCCGCCTCAC